TACACCACACACACACACACACACACACACACTGTTTTTCTTCGCTCTTCCAGCTGTGTGAGAATCCAGCAGCAGATCCAGCTACAGTTTCTCTCTCTCTCTCTCTCTCTCTCTCTCTCTCTCTCTCGTCCAGGTGGAACATCCTCCACCTCACGCAGGGGATGATGTCACACACCAGCAATGAAAATGCCAAATTATTAAATTATTTCTCAGAAATAAAAACAAAACAGCGACTCCATCTACAGGAGCAGCCCATAACAGGAGGCGACCGCTTTTTCTTTTCTGATACAGATACAGATATTAACACCTCGTATCGGCCCACACTAGCTGGGTACTTCTTAAAGGGGGACATTTTTTCCTCATTTTTGCATAATTAAAAAGTTAAGATGTAAATAAAGTTGTTCAGAGTAGTTTAGTGTGAAACTTAGCGAGTCAGCATTGTTCACAGTGGTGGTGATAGGGACCAGACGTCCACCTCTAAAAGCTCCCTCACAGAAAGTTCCTACATGAAATGGTTATGAATTCACTGATAACTGACACATTGTTTTGGGAAGATTTTGACCTTAAAATCCATTCATGGTGGAGGGATACATGGGCGTTGAGACAAAATAGTCCCCAAAAAGAAATAAATCTTATTATTTCAGATTTTCCACTTTTTTCCCCATCGTCAACATTCCATATAAACTCAGAAGACACATATAGGTTCACTGATGGTTTTGGATAGTAAATAAAATGGCCGTATTTGCTGTAGACATGGCGACCCCTGACCAAAACCTTGTATCTCCACAATGGTAACTTTACAGGAGAAGAAAAAAGCATACTTTACTTTTAATGTAAGTCAATGGAACCAGATGTTTTTCCAAGTCGTTTTGGGACGTTTCTTTTAGTCTGTTTATCTTGAAATTTACACCGAATATAAAGGACAGTAAATACGTTTTTCAGTTTTTTATGCCAAAAACTGAAAAACGACCCACAGCAGCAATATACAAGCACACAAATGTAACACTGATGCTTTAATGCTGATTCTTTGTTATTTTGCTGATATTCTCTCTCTCTCTCTTACTCTCTATCTCTCTGCAGCATCAGTGTTCCCGGAGGATTTCTCCATCCTGGCCACAGTGCGGCCCAAAAAGGGCAGTCAGTCATTCCTACTGTCCATTTATAATGAGCAGGGCATCCAGCAGCTGGGCCTGGAGGTGGGCCGCTCTCCAGTGTTCCTGTATGAAGACCACCTGGGCAAACCAGGTCCAGAGGATTACCCGCTTTTCAGAGGGATCAACCTGGCCGACGGAAAGTACGACACACGTGCACACACTTTACAAAATATTCATGTTTTTCTATCATACTGGGGATTTTGGGTCCCCACAAATGGCTAAATACAGACATACACAAAGGTGTACACAAAAACTCTTGATCTATATCTTACAGACATTTGGACGCCACTTGCTCTATCACACGAATTGTGTCATGGTTGTAATAACGAAATGCTTAAAGGGGCAGTCCAGCCAAACGAATGGAGTCCAAAATGAATGGGTTAAGTTTGGTTAAAAGTTGACATTTTTAATGTAAAAAAATACAATTATTTCCTGAACACAGAACAGCATAAAACATTTTAACACTGCTGTTATATTTTAAGAGCTTGTAAACTCGAGTTATAGGAGTTTAAAACGGTGCCTCATGTACGTTCATGACGTCTGGGAACACGGACAGCCAATCAGCACGCTGTAGCAGTAATGTTGGCGTCCTGCTGCCCAAAACCCGTTTACTGTAGAAAAAAGGAAACATACAGGTGAGTTTTCTTTGCTTTTTTAGTGAAATACATCCTTTTCTAACATTAAGGGAAAGTTCTGGTTCAGTGATTAGAAACTATTTTAACTTTTCGTTTTTTAGCCGTTGAGCGCCATTTACTCCCATTCATTAAGGTCTCGCTCACGGGCGCCCTCTGCTGTTTTGCAGTCCTGTTTTTGATATAACGGGGTAAATAGGAAGTGGCCAGACTCCTCATATATTGGCTCTGACTTTACCCTTTAGCTTTTTGTGCTCTTTGTCTGAAGAGTCAAAATCCACCACAAAGCAGTTTCTCCAAAGTTCCTCCCACCTTCAGGATACATCATCAGGTTTTCCTAGTCTTTAAACAGGGAAAGCTCACTCTCGAGACTACTGCTGTAAAAGGCACTGCTGTAATCTTGTTTACAGCAGATTTTACAACTTTTTTTATGTTTGATTCGTCCAAAATGAACCTTTAGCAACATGTTACTAACATAAAAACTTTGTCCTGTCCTCTCTGCCTCTCGTAGTGGGCACAGGTTGACCGTTTGATGCCTATTTTGTGTGCAGATGGCATCGCGTGGCGATCAGTGTCCATAAGCAGAGCATAACGATGATCGTGGACTGTAAGAAGAAGACAACGCGTGCGTTATCCCGGAGCCCAAACCCCGTCATCGACACCAAAGGCATCATAGTGTTCGGTACGCGCATCCTGGACGAGGAGGTGTTCGAGGTAAGATCGCCAGCTTGGGAAGAGAGTGAAAACTACAGCTTTCCTTAATCGATCAACCGATCTGCCTTCTTCCCCCTCCTTTCCTCGTGCAGCAAGCGATCTCTTCTTTAGGATGGTGGAGAACCAGATCAGGGTTTTAGACGACTGAACAGTGGTGTGTTTTCGTCTTCTTGTTGTAGAATATTTGAACATTTGAGATATTATTCTATTCTCGTGTTTCGCTTACTGTATAGTCCCCGACATGACGAGAGACACACAGACCTTTAATTCAGTGTTTTCACTCCAGGCTTGGAGCCCCTGCACTGTATAGTTTAGTGTTTCTCTGCTGTTCACACCTCGTTCAGCTCAAGAAGGGATTGATTAGCTAATAATATCAGGTATTTTAACCAGGAAACCACAGTTATGCAGTGCAGGGGTTTCAGGACTGGAGCTGAACTCTGAACTAACTGCACTAGCAAACTTACAGAATCACGTCTGTCGAAACACGACGTCGTTTTCCGACCCACGAAATTCAGTCTGATATTTAACGTTAATGTTTCTCCATTCAAACGTCATTTAAATCTCCAGAACAGAGAGTAAAGTTATACCGGCTGTCTTCTGTTATACCGGCGGGCTTCTGTGCTTTTAAATGCTTTGAGAGACTCTCTAGAATAGGAAGAGGGGCTGAGTATGAGATAAATATATCAGGAAAACGCAAATTTGGTGTCTTTCCGCCAGTTTAAGTGGCACCAGGAGTTCAGGGGAAACTGTATAAGGATCACAGACTATTTTATTGACTTTGTCGAGGTCACGTTTTCTCTTCCATAGTAAAATGATTAATTTTAGCCATCTTTCACCTCTAGTTACGTTCAAAGCTAGAAATTCGGTCCCACAACAGAAAAATCACGTGACTGAAACCCTAGAATAGAATCACAGTTATAACATGCTTGTTATGGCTGGAACTGCAACTTATAGCGGCTAACTTCTCCAGACTCTTGGTGTGTGTGTGTGTGTGTGTGTGTGTGTCTGTGTGTGTGTGTTAGCCTTTAGCGGGGTGGTGTGAATGTGTCTCTGCAGAGTTTGAAGAGTGCCAAATGCTCTCACCTGTACTTGTAGAGGGCAGGTGTGAAAGCATGTCTGTGCGTTTAGCTTGTACTTGTGGAAATGTAGTGGCTTCACTCTACACTTTACCTGCCAATTAGGAAGAGTGATTACAGTTTGTGGTGTGCGCCTGAGTGTGTGTGTGTGTAAAACACAGTGGTGCAGCTCCTGAAGCCCTAACCCAACGGTCGGCAACCCAAATGTTAAGAAGAGCCATTTTGTCCTTTCAACAAAAATCTAAGCCACAACATTTTATGTTCATTTTACCATCTTGGCTGTAAATATGTCTCAGTATGTGCTGATGTACTAGTATAGGCTAAAAATATAACATATAAACGAAAAAACTCAGACTTACTTTGCTCTGCTTTAAGCTTTAGCTCAGCTGTAGCAGCTTTTCTCGCATCTCCAGCAGGAAACTTTTCCTCAAAAGTAGAACAGTTTCCTGTAAAATGCCTCTCAACATTCGACTTTTTACGAGGCTGAAGTCGCTTCTCATTCCCCAGCTTCTTGTTCAGATTTTCCCGTTCCATCTTAAATGGTGCCTGAGGCGCCAGTGTAACTGCTGCATCATTTAAGGTGGAATGAGACAAGCTGGCGAATGAGAAGCTGACTTCAGCTTTGCAACCTTTTAGTGTTTGACAGTTCTGTCGTTGCAGAAGGAGTGATTATAAACGCAAAGTCCATTCATCTCCAAATTATGGATGTTCATTTTAAATCTCTCTCTTGGCTTTTTCGTTAGCTACTAGCTAGATGAGACTGTTGTCTACGCTTTGTTGGTGTGCCTCAGATTTCTTTGAAAAACTGAAAGTGAGTCTCCTGAAAAGAATGGAAGCTGGAATAAAGGTGAAGAGTGACTCACTGACACTCACACAGCTGAGATTAGATTTAGTTGTTATAGTTTCTGTGTAAAATAAGTATTAAAATATGTATTAAATAAAAGAAAAGGTCTCTGATTGTGCACAGAGCTAATGAGGGAGCAGGAATCCATATCAGTCGCAGCCTCCGAGGAGATTCTGAACAGCTTTCAGCTTTTCATTTTTCTTTTCCTTTCACTCAGTGAAGACATAAAGAGCAGATCCGCTCCCTCAGCTGCTGACCCTGATAGTATACACAATAAAAAGACAAGCATGTGTATAATTTTGTGTGTGTACTGTACTTTACAGCCTTCGTTACAGCTTCCATTCTCTTCAGGAGACTCGCTTTCAGCTCCGCAAAGAAATCTGCAGACACACCTCCAAAGTTCAGTCTTAGAAGTTGGTTTAGCCTTTTCTGCTTCTCACAATCCCAATTAGTCCCAATGACTCAGTCTATAGAACCTTACTCCACATCTCAGAAGTCGTGTCAGTGCTCGACTGCAGATGTTTTTCTTTTCCTTCTGTTTTCTTTTGTCTTGAGTTTTTCCCTCAAAGATGAAAGCTTTAAGTGCTGTTTATCTGATGGGGGCAGTTTTGGTGGTCTAACAGGTCTTCCAGGTGGTTGTTAGGAGTGTTATTTTCTCGGGTTCCATGTTTTTTTGCTTATTTTCCTTTGACTTTCTTCTTCCTTACTTTAATGGCTGTTTTGACTGGAAATTTAATAAATGAAGGGTGCTCTGACTTTTCCACAGTACTGTACATGTGAGAAAATAGGGAGATGTGATTGCATGTGTGTCTGTGTGTATATATATGTGTGTGTGTGTGTATATATGTGTGTATATGTGTGTATATGTGTGTGTGTGTGTGTGTGTGTGTGTGTGTGTGTGTGTGCTAATGCCATTCCCAGTCTCAGACGGCTGTTAAATTATGCGCTGCTTTTCTTGGCTCAGCCAATGGGAAACAAGGGAGCCGGCTTTATACCACACACACACACACATACACACACACACTCACACAGAAGTCAGATGTGTGTTTTGTCTTGTTGGAGATCTGTCTCTTATAATCACACACACACACACACACACACGCACACACACTCACACACACACACACCTCCTCTGAGTTCATCAGAAGAGCAAGAGAGAATCAGGTAACCATTAGAGAGGGAGAGAGATAGAGAGAGAAAGAGAGAGAGAGAGAGAGAGAGAGAGAGAGAGAGAGAGAGAGAGAGCGTGAGAGAGAGAGAGAGAGAGAAGTGTTCTGTGTGGAAAGTTCTGGTCAGTGTGACATGTTCAGGCTTTGAACTTCAGCCGTGTTTCGTGACATCATCAGGGGGTTTCCATAGCACTCACATGTATCATCCTGTGTGTCGGGGGGTCTGTCTGAGTGAGAGTGTGTGTGTGGCGGGGGGGGGGTTCAGATAGGACTGGAGTGTGTTTTTCCTTCAACTTGGAAAAAGTCGTACAGACACGTCAGCAGAAGCCACCTACACAGTTTCACACTCAGCATCTCTCTTCTCTTCTCTTCTCTTCTCTTCTCTTCTCTTCTCACTTCTTTTCCACTCTTCTCTTCTCTTCTCTTCTCTTCTCTTCTCTTCTCTTCTCGTCTCTTCTCTTTTGTTCTCACTTCTTTTCCACTCTTCTCTTCTCTTCTCTACAGAGGTTCTCTGGAAATGTTCTGCACATGAGTAGTTGTTCTGTTGAAACTCCTTGTAACCAGAACAGCCAGCCTGTGCAGCTTATTGGATCCCATGGGAGTCAGCAGCCAATGAGATGGAGGAAGGGGCGGGGTTTACCTCATTTATGGCTCCAGAATGCAGGTCTTTGATCATTGCAGCATTGCATAGCCTTGTATATCTGATGGTCCATTAACATTAGCTGTTGTTCTCTAGCTCAGAGCCAGCTCTCAGAGCAAGTCAGCACTAAGTAATATTAGCTTTTCAGCTAAGCTAGCACTCTCCACCTCTGAGCGTTTCCCAGTGGAAAAGAACAGAGGACTTGTTCGAGGTGTGTGGGTGTATGTGTGGAGGGAATGCATTGGGATTTGGATTGGGTTCAGTGTTTGGTCAGCTCCAGCTGCGGCCTTCAGACTCTTCCTGTCTGTTTTTCTCTGGTCTTTCTGTCTGGTTAGATATATTTACATCTGGCATTTTTCTGCCATGACTATGCATTTTTATGTGCATATTAGCAGGAGATGGTTAGCTAGAACCACCTTCAAGTTAAAGTACTGTAACTCCAGTGAAATGGTGCATCAGGTAGAAGTAGAAATGTGAAAACTTGCCTTTTATCTGTATGTCGATGCTTCTATTTTCAGATTTTAGAGCATCAACATTATAAAAATACAGGTGGTTAGATTGTTTTTTTAGCAGCAAGAAAGCTAACACGCTAGCCATGGGCTAATATGGAAGCCCCAAGTTATTGCATTCGTAACAAGCCAACACACTAACCACGTGCTTGTATGTTATCCAGTGAGACAGAGGGAGCAGTGAGCTAATGCGCTGTCTGCAAGCCAATGTTAGCCACAAGTTAACACATTAGCTACAAGCAAATACGCTGGCCACAAACTAGTATGGTAGCCCCAAGCTAACGGCCCAGATAGGAGCTCATGCGCTGACCACGAGCTAATATGTTACCCACAGTCCAACAGACTAGATAGAAACTAATGCGCTATCCACAAGCTAACATGTTATCCCTAAGCTAACAGATTAGATTTGAGCTAATGCGCTGACCATGAGCTGATATGGTATCCACCAGGTAACAGACTAGGTATGAGCTCATTCGCTGACCACGAGCTGATATGGTATCCACAAGTTAACAGACTAGGTATGAGCTCATTCGCTGACCACGAGCTGATATGGTATCCACAAGTTAACAGACTAGGTATGAGCTCATTCGCTGACCACGAGCTGATATGGTATCCACAAGTTAACAGACTAGGTATGAGCTCATGCGCTGACCACGAGCTGATATGGTATCCACCAGGTAACAGACTAGGTATGAGCTCATGCGCTGACCACAAGCTAATATGGTATCCACAAGTTAACAGACTAGGTATGAGCTCATGCGC